CGTCTTATATATATATATACCAGACTAACATATATCTAGTAATCTCCCGACAATTCACGAAGGTTCGAGAAAACAAGTGGCGTGACACTAGTCACGTGACCTCGCTGACGCAACAATACTAATCATTAATGTCCAGTACGCAACGGACAGTAGTTCCAAAAAAGACGCTTGAAGCCATGGAAACATTTCAAGACATTTTCCCATAATTCCTCATTCTTGAGCCTGTTACTTTAAACATACTTATTTGCTTGTTGGACAGAAGCCTTCTTCCCTGTTTCAAAACACCTGTGTAGAGTTTGTGAATAATATTTTTTCCGTAATAGTTCTTGTTCTAAATTCATACGATAACCCGAATAACCACAATTCTGAAAAGTCAGTACCTCCTTGTTAGATAAAGTCTATGAAATATGACACAAACTAGAAAGAAATGGACACTGATAATTAGTGTAACAGGACTGACTTCTAAAGAACTCTATTAAGTATGATTAGCTTACTTGATGATGTTTAAAATTGATTTGTCAGTTCTGAGGTCTCGATTGTTCAATACTGGATAATTCAGCTATTATGTTGATACAAAAAACAGTTGTTAATAACTAGATCACTGTTATTATGGCCAAAAAGTTAGAAAAAAACTACCTGTACTCTCCAGACAATAATAAAAAAACTTTTTATTTTAGCCAATGTTTGCCTTTGCGGCTTCATCAGTGATAGTTGTATAAGAACTGTTTGATGTGGATATATATATATATATACGTTAACTTATTAAACTGCTTTTGGTGTTCTGTTCTTCGTTATGTTGTGATCACTTTATAAGCTGGCCAATCATTGTTTGCAATTCTTACTAGATAATTAAGTTTAGTGTCTTTAAGAATTTCTAGTGCATGCCAGGGGGGTTTAGACATTTTGACAATAGTTAGAAGAAGAAAAAAACGGCCTTTACTCTCCAGTTAATAAAAATACTTTTCATTGATATTTAGAGAGTAAGTTACGTGTTGAAGAAAATGTGCCGTGTGATAGTAAGCGAATACGTAAAAATTACGAAATCAGGGTAATAAAAAATGAGACAGGAAAAAAAAAAGAAGAAAAATGACGCTGCTTGTTTGAGAAACCATTGCGCAGAAATAACATTTTTTGTTTCTAATATGATAATACTTAAACCCTTGGAAATACATATCCAAGAAGCAAGCATCCCCGAAAAAAAAACAGTTGAGTGTGTATTAATTTTTACGGAAAACGTTACCTAGGTTACTGTTATCTCATCACTCGTGTATCCCGCCTTGTTTGTTGAATAGTTGTCTTCAGTGATTGTTGTCATGTCAATCTTCGTAGATAAATTTAGTTTCATTCAAACCAAACACTCACAATTCCCTCACAGCACTTGGAGTGAAGCGCAAAGAATCATGGGAGCGTCTAGTTTGGGCGAGACGACGATGAGCTGTGATGTTGCTTTAGACTATTTTACTTGTACATGAAAAGAAAAGAAAATTGACTCCAACTATTTCACTGAAATTTAAAAAGAAAATCATATAATTTGGACAATTCTCGTGCATTGTTTTATTGTTATTGTTTAACCATTCCATTTTACTGGCGAAAATATCGCGAACAGCGAGAGTACTTAGCTGATGGTACTTACAGGTTTCAGTTTTCTGGCGTATTGATTATTAACGTTAAATGTTTTTAATCAGCTTGTTATACCAGAATGTCTTCGCGAGATTTTAAAACATTTTAGTTCTGATCTATATAGTTAGGTTATTTGTGTTCAGTAACCCTAAATATTTGTTTACATTGCCCTTGTACAACATATAGTTTTGTTAGCTGTATTATTTTTTATGTTTGGTTCTTTTACTCCAAACAGTTTTCACTTTTTTTACCCAAATTGTTGTTTAGCACAAATGCTAACAATTATCACAGAGTTCTACTACAATGAATAGTCCTTATACTCAAAATCCCAAAGCCACAAGTACTGAATTCAGATCACTGTAGTCGTCTACTTTGCGTAAAATTTTGTAAGCCGTTCGCCTTGGCACATGAACTCCACTGTACTTTTGCCTCGACTTTGCGCATGTGTAATATTATTCCAAGAATGTTCGAGGAAAAACATTACTTACGTTCAATGCGGGTTTTTACTTTTTAGGCTACTGGTAAGTGTGAATTGTTTTAGAGTTAGCGGTGATTGAAAAATTAACTGAGGTTATCTCAACATCTTCGTTTAAAACAATTCTATAAAAGTATGTTTAGTTTATACTGTACCTAGAATTTTTAATGGGTAAAAATAGCGAAGATGATAGCTTTACACAAGTTTGCTTTGAGAACTTGAACTGAGTAGAAGCTCTAACGTTATAGCCGGTAAATAGTGGCCGAGTCTGAGAGCTGGAAGACACTCGAGGTTTGTCATGTATTACTATTAGTATTACTATACAGTCTACTTCCTTAGGACACAGGGTTTCTATGGCTCAGGTAGTAAAGACTCGTTAAAGTAAAGAATACTGAATATTACCAGCAACAATGTAAAGCTATAACTTCATTTAAATAAGTTATTGAAATACTTTGGAAATTTAAACAATAAAATTTCTAAAGTGGCGATAAATAAGTTAATGCAAGGAGTCTCAAACTATTATTTTTTTAAAAATAAAAGAATAGACATGGAAAAATTCCTGATGGTTGGAAAATTGACAATGGCAGTGTGGTCCCTACTTTAAAAAAAATGTTCAAGAAAATATCCGGAAAACTTTGAGTTATGACGATAGTATAACTTCTGTTGTTTTTAAGGTTTTAGAATATTTTTTTAGGAAAATAATTATAAAGTTTACATTTAATCAACAACTGTCAGCATAATTTTAGGTAATCCTTCGAGTAACCAATTAGGCTAAGGCTGTAGTATATACAAAACTGTTGTGTAAGCCTTTACCAAATTACTGTGTACACAAGTGTGTAGTGTGCATACCCACATATGTGTACAAGTTAACTTGTTTGTTTTAAAGAACAGGTTTTAGTGTTTCCTTTTGTATTCAACCTGCAATGAAATATGAGATGTACCCCCCATGGTGAAAGGATAAATAGCCTACACATAACTGTCTATGACCATATAACTTAGACACATTATTATGAAAGAATCTTGAGTTTTTAAACTTTGAAAGGCAGTCATGTTTGCTGTGTCATCTGAATTTGTTCAGTCATGTTTACTATATTTCCACATAAAATAACAGGGACAGGAAACCTGGTCTTATAATGTTTCTAATACTTATTTTTTTATGCAGTATTTTATTAACATACAGTAGTTTTGAGTCACCCCTAAATAGTGTGCTTATACAGTCCTACATACTTAATGGAACTAAACAAGGTGGAATTGAAAGCATTGACAGTGACAAATGGTACGTAATTTTCACTTTAATAGTAAAAGATGGTTCTGACATGAAATTCCCAATTTTTTTTATTAGTAAAGTATTAACAGCTTTACATTTTACTGTTTACAATGGTTATACATTAGAATGCCAAAAATGTCAACAGAGTACCAGCTTATAATTCTCTTTCTTTATGAGCAAAATTGTAACTAGGTATTGCTCACAAAACTGTCTTTTGTATACATCTAATAAAAAAAAAAGATTAAGAAATGTCAAAAGACTGGTTCAACAGTAGCGGGAAAAGGTTTGATTTACCCTAAAAACTCTGAAGAAAATTAACGGTACTTGAAGATTACTTCCTTTAGGGACAGAAAACAGTCTAGCCAAGAGCTAATACAAGAACCAGTAGCACCTTCAGGGGTACAAGTCCATATTACCCGTGTACAAAAATCCATTGTGAGAGTTCAGGGGTACAAGTCCATACTACCAGTGTACAAAAATCCATTGTGATAGTTCAGGGGTACAAGTCCATACTACCAGTGTACAAAGATCCATTGTGATAGTTCAGGGGTACAAGTCCATACTACAGTGTACAAAGATCCATTGTGAGAGTTCAGGGGTACAAGTCCATACTACCAGTGTACAAAGATCCATTGTGAGAGTTCAGGGGTACAAGTCCATACTACCAGTGTACAACGATCCATTGTGAGGAGTGGTTTTAAAAGGATGAGTAGCAGTCACGAAACTGTCCTTACATAAGGCAATAAGACAAACAGAAAAAAATTATGCCAACAAAGATAAAGAATGGACCCAAGAGCAATAGAAACAAGTCTTTTAGATTAACGAGTCCAAATTTACAATTTTTTGATCTAAGAAAAGGCAATATGCAAGGAGAGGAGCTGGTGAAGAATATAAGAATGTATTTTTGAAACCAGCTGTGAAGCATGGAGGTAGATCCATTTCAGTTTAGAGCTGTATTTCAGCAACTGGAGTGGGATTTCTGGTGAGGATTGATGGGAGAATGGATGTAGCAAAATATAACCAGGTCCTAACGTATCACACTTTACCGTATGGAAAATGAATTATAGGAGATATAACCACGTCCTAACGTATCACACTTTACCGTATGGAAAATGAATTATAGGAGATATAACCAGGTCCTAACGTATCACACTTTACCGTATGGAAAATGAATTATAGGAGATATAACCAGGTCCTAACGTATCACACTTTACCTTATGGGAAATGAATTATAGGAGATATAACCAGGTCCTAACGTATCACACTTTACCTTATGGAAAATGAATTATAGGAGATAGGTTAATTTTAAAGCATTACAATTATCCTAAACATAATAGATCAATCATCAGGTTCATTAATCAGTTACATTCAACTAATCAGTTACTCTCTCATGAGACCTGGATAGTTGGAATAGTTGAAAACACTGATTTCAGTTATTTGTTTTTGTGACATTAACTATAATTTTGATCAATCGATTATTTTATGGCACCAATCAATGTAACTGATGCTCGTAAGTAATCGAGTTAATTGTCCAGCTCTAACTTTAGATACCTATTTTACAAGTATAATTAGCACTTACTGTACAAGAAGATCGAATATTTAAAAAAAGACACTCAGTTATGATACTTCAGACTGTACATAACCCAGTTAATTATCTATCGATTTGTTTTCATGACATGTATTTCTTTACTTGTGTATGGAAACACGTTATGCTAATATAATAATATATAGTTATAAATATAATAAAGTTTTAATTTTGGGCAACATACCATATTTTCCCCAAAACCACTTCATTATGTTTATAATCATTTTTTCAATGTACTATTTCTAGATTAATTATACGAATCTTTATTCTTTCTTTCAAAGAGACTGGTATTTTTTTTTATGATAACTTTCTTTTCTTATTTCTTTTTCTACTTATTTTGGAATTTCATCTCTTAGGTGGAGTTTGCCCAAATTATCGTTGTTCAATTAAGTTCAGAAAATTCTGTTTAAGCCCGACTAAACTTGGGTACTGTTGAGGGCTGTGAGGTATTGATTATAGAAATTCTTTAAGTATTGCCGAGTAACATCATCTGTGATAGTGCATTAATAATGAAACTGTAGATTTTAATGTTGAAATTTTTATGTATCACATCAGTTACAAACAATTAGTGATATTGTAGGTTTTGTTTACATTGTACTTAGTTTTACTAAATCAGACTGTACTTGCATCACCTTTTGACCTCTTTATCTAAATGTTACAGAGGGTAGAAAGTTGTTTACAATTTATGGTAACGTTTGCCTAACAAATCACCTTGTTTCTGGCTATTTCCATGCCCTGAAACAACACGTTAACCCATTTTTTTGCAACCCATTTGAAGTATTTGGATTTGCAGATGTTGCCTAAAATTGGTTCCTTCTTGGAAGTTTACATTATAAAACTGTTTTGGTACAAAACTATCTTATTCTGCAATCATTAAAGCATGAAATGCACAAAATGTTAAACTTGTGAAGAGATATTAACCCCTACATAGACAGGTCTGATGGGTTTTCTTATGGTCATGCGTCAAAGAGCATGTCAACACGTTTGTAGACTTACATTCAAAAGTTTATTGAACTACTATTTTATGGATGCATGTCAGTAAGTTTGATATCAACTTGTAGATTATAATTCAAATTTTAGTATTATCCATTAGTTAATTTCTTAATTTGAAAGTAAATATAAAAAAAAAAGACTAAATATCAGTTTTGGTTTGTTACGTGGTATGTTGAATGCAGCACTGGTTCAAATTAGATGTTTGTGATGTCAAAATACAAAGTATAGTTTCGTACAAATTAGGAACTCAAATTACTAATATTGA